ACCCGGGTCTCCCGCGTGACAGGCGGGGATACTGACCACTATACTACCGAGGATTGGCTGAAAGGCACAGACAAAAATAGTAAGCTGTAGAGAGCAAGGCATGCAGCTAGCTCTCATCCAAGTTAAGACGTGCACACGCTTATAATCATTTCTATTGGGTGTGAATTTATCTATGAGCGACACAGAGCTGCCACTGTTTCATCCTAACTGTTAACATTTCCATAATCCCACCAGAAATGGAGAGTAAACCATTACCAAGAAAACCATTATAAAAGCAGGCATTGGTGTCATTGACGAACAACAATCTGAAAAAAGGGGCAGATGGATAGTTCTTGAAAAATCTAAGCTTAAAAAGATGTTCTCCCCGGCCGGGAATTGAACCCGGGTCTCCCGCGTGACAGGCGGGGATACTGACCACTATACTACCGAGGATTGGCTGAAAGGCACAGACAAAAATAGTAAGCTGTAGAGAGCAAGGCATGCAGCTAGCTCTCATCCAAGTTAAGACGTGCACACGCTTATAATCATTTCTATTGGGTGTGAATTTATCTATGAGCGACACAGAGCTGCCACTGTTTCATCCTAACTGTTAACATTTCCATAATCCCACCAGAAATGGAGAGTAAACCATTACCAAGAAAACCATTATAAAAGCAGGCATTGGTGTCATTGACGAACAACAATCTGAAGAAAGGGGCAGATGGATAGTTCTTGAAAAATCTAAGCTTAAAAAGATATTCTCCCCGGCCGGGAATTGAACCCGGGTCTCCCGCGTGACAGGCGGGGATACTGACCACTATACTACCGAGGATTGGCTGAAAGGCACAGACAAAAATAGTAAGCTGTAGAGAGCAAGGCATGCAGCTAGCTCTCATCCAAGTTAAGACGTGCACACGCTTATAATCATTTCTATTGGGTGTGAATTTATCTATGAGCGACACAGAGCTGCCACTGTTTCATCCTAACTGTTAACATTTCCATAATCCCACCAGAAATGGAGAGTAAACCATTACCAAGAAAACCATTATAAAAGCAGGCATTGGTGTCATTGACGAACAACAATCTGAAGAAAGGGGCAGATGGATAGTTCTTGAAAAATCTAAGCTTAAAAAGATGTTCTCCCCGGCCGGGAATTGAACCCGGGTCTCCCGCGTGACAGGCGGGGATACTGACCACTATACTACCGAGGATTGGCTGAAAGGCACAGACAAAAATAGTAAGCTGTAGAGAGCAAGGCATGCAGCTAGCTCTCATCCAAGTTAAGACGTGCACACGCTTATAATCATTTCTATTGGGTGTGAATTTATCTATGAGCGACACAGAGCTGCCACTGTTTCATCCTAACTGTTAACATTTCCATAATCCCACCAGAAATGGAGAGTAAACCATTACCAAGAAAACCATTATAAAAGCAGGCATTGGTGTCATTGACGAACAACAATCTGAAGAAAGGGGCAGATGGATAGTTCTTGAAAAATCTAAGCTTAAAAAGATGTTCTCCCCGGCCGGGAATTGAACCCGGGTCTCCCGCGTGACAGGCGGGGATACTGACCACTATACTACCGAGGATTGGCTGAAAGGCACAGACAAAAATAGTAAGCTGTAGAGAGCAAGGCATGCAGCTAGCTCTCATCCAAGTTAAGACGTGCACACGCTTATAATCATTTCTATTGGGTGTGAATTTATCTATGAGCGACACAGAGCTGCCACTGTTTCATCCTAACTGTTAACATTTCCATAATCCCACCAGAAATGGAGAGTAAACCATTACCAAGAAAACCATTATAAAAGCAGGCATTGGTGTCATTGACGAACAACAATCTGAAAAAAGGGGCAGATGGATAGTTCTTGAAAAATCTAAGCTTAAAAAGATGTTCTCCCCGGCCGGGAATTGAACCCGGGTCTCCCGCGTGACAGGCGGGGATACTGACCACTATACTACCGAGGATTGGCTGAAAGGCACAGACAAAAATAGTAAGCTGTAGAGAGCAAGGCATGCAGCTAGCTCTCATCCAAGTTAAGACGTGCACACGCTTATAATCATTTCTATTGGGTGTGAATTTATCTATGAGCGACACAGAGCTGCCACTGTTTCATCCTAACTGTTAACATTTCCATAATCCCACCAGAAATGGAGAGTAAACCATTACCAAGAAAACCATTATAAAAGCAGGCATTGGTGTCATTGACGAACAACAATCTGAAGAAAGGGGCAGATGGATAGTTCTTGAAAAATCTAAGCTTAAAAAGATATTCTCCCCGGCCGGGAATTGAACCCGGGTCTCCCGCGTGACAGGCGGGGATACTGACCACTATACTACCGAGGATTGGCTGAAAGGCACAGACAAAAATAGTAAGCTGTAGAGAGCAAGGCATGCAGCTAGCTCTCATCCAAGTTAAGACGTGCACACGCTTATAATCATTTCTATTGGGTGTGAATTTATCTATGAGCGACACAGAGCTGCCACTGTTTCATCCTAACTGTTAACATTTCCATAATCCCACCAGAAATGGAGAGTAAACCATTACCAAGAAAACCATTATAAAAGCAGGCATTGGTGTCATTGACGAACAACAATCTGAAGAAAGGGGCAGATGGATAGTTCTTGAAAAATCTAAGCTTAAAAAGATGTTCTCCCCGGCCGGGAATTGAACCCGGGTCTCCCGCGTGACAGGCGGGGATACTGACCACTATACTACCGAGGATTGGCTGAAAGGCACAGACAAAAATAGTAAGCTGTAGAGAGCAAGGCATGCAGCTAGCTCTCATCCAAGTTAAGACGTGCACACGCTTATAATCATTTCTATTGGGTGTGAATTTATCTATGAGCGACACAGAGCTGCCACTGTTTCATCCTAACTGTTAACATTTCCATAATCCCACCAGAAATGGAGAGTAAACCATTACCAAGAAAACCATTATAAAAGCAGGCATTGGTGTCATTGACGAACAACAATCTGAAGAAAGGGGCAGATGGATAGTTCTTGAAAAATCTAAGCTTAAAAAGATGTTCTCCCCGGCCGGGAATTGAACCCGGGTCTCCCGCGTGACAGGCGGGGATACTGACCACTATACTACCGAGGATTGGCTGAAAGGCACAGACAAAAATAGTAAGCTGTAGAGAGCAAGGCATGCAGCTAGCTCTCATCCAAGTTAAGACGTGCACACGCTTATAATCATTTCTATTGGGTGTGAATTTATCTATGAGCGACACAGAGCTGCCACTGTTTCATCCTAACTGTTAACATTTCCATAATCCCACCAGAAATGGAGAGTAAACCATTACCAAGAAAACCATTATAAAAGCAGGCATTGGTGTCATTGACGAACAACAATCTGAAAAAAGGGGCAGATGGATAGTTCTTGAAAAATCTAAGCTTAAAAAGATGTTCTCCCCGGCCGGGAATTGAACCCGGGTCTCCCGCGTGACAGGCGGGGATACTGACCACTATACTACCGAGGATTGGCTGAAAGGCACAGACAAAAATAGTAAGCTGTAGAGAGCAAGGCATGCAGCTAGCTCTCATCCAAGTTAAGACGTGCGCACGCTTACAAAAATATATATTTATCGGGCGCGCGTGCTGAGAAGATTGTTGACAGATTAGCCACTGAATTATTTTTTTGAGAGACTTTATCTGTAAATTGGCTATTCGCTGCGGTGTGAAAAGTTCTCTACTTATTCACCTTTGACCTAGAGAATCTGGCTTCGTGCTACCTTTCTCCATTGAACCTGGGAAAGGATCTGCATGGTTGTGTATATGGACTGCTGTTTGCGCGACAGAAACATGTGGGTTCGTTCCATTGTTTATCTACACATCATATTCTATTGTCGTAGCGGAATTTAGTAATCGACTGTGCTCGATCAATAGTTCCATTGCAATAAATCTGAAATATGGGGGCATTGCCTCCACTCGGGTTAGTCGTCATATTCATTACGTTGAAGCTGATTTCTTTCAGAGTTCTTTCAAATGAGCTCCAGGACGTTCAGTCGAACTGGCGTTTATGAGCCGCTACACGATGAAACTCGTCTGCGAGGTTATTATAGAAGATTAGTTTCATATCAAAGTTCATAGAAGCTTGAGAGGGCTTTAATTGAATTTGATGGTCTCTCTTTAAAAGCCTTTAGTCAACCTTAAGGCTTGAAAATCACTATTAAACTACTCGAAAAGCCCTGAATTTGTACTTGTGTAAAATGCAATATACTTGTTCACATAAGTATTTTAATTCACGACAGACTTAATTTATTTTATTTGTAAAAATGAACCTTGTTTGGGAAATATAATAGTTTGCTGGATTTTAATAAAGCATTGAGAGACTATAAGGCTAAAAACCCAACTCAAAATACCTTGAAAATGAATTTTAGTGTTTCTTATCAGTATGTACCTCGTGTGGTTTATATATATGGTCTAGGCCGACTGGGAGGGTATGATGAGAGGGGAAATTTGTGTTGATGAATTAAAATTCTGACAGCTGTTCAGCTTCTGTCTGCTAGAATGTGTGGTCTTTTTATTAATTTAGTAAGTGTTTCATGTTTTCATGAATCCAATAATAAAATAGTTGTCCATAATAGATAATGACCTGAGGACAGATATTTACAAAATCATGCATTATGATACACTCTAATTAATGCATATAAATATTCTGTCTTACACAAATCCCACAAACACACAATTGTATTTCAGTCAGCAATATTCCACCCATATACATATGTATATTAACGGAGGCTGTTGTAATGAAATCAGACCCTGATCAATGGGTGTAAATATGAACAATCACCATCATTAGTGTCACACAATCTGTCAAATATTATACCCACCCAATCCTCATAGTCATCTCTTGAGACAAGGATGAGATATGCATACCGGGTATCTATTCTTCTATGGAATTCCATTGGAAAAACTTCCTTACACATGACGCAAAAGTATAATTATTCACATCATGCACTTTTTAACTGTAGCATCAAATTGTAAACAATCCAAAGAATAAACACAACATTTTCTCATAAAAATGTTAGATTTTATTTCACATTTTACACAGCTGCAACCAATTGCATACAAACTGATCCAATCATTGTTACCATAACATAAATGGTCTTTACTCACAATAGTTATCATGGATGACTTATTTTCATGACATTTTCTCATAAAAAAATCTTAAAGATTTGAAACCAGTAAAGAAAAAAAAACTTAAATCTAACTAATGGCAAGTCATAAAGATTTGTTAACACATGGTTTCAAGGTGTGGAGTCAACATCTATGTGCTCAAAGGAAATTCCTGTGCTAAATTTTCACTGGAGATTCAGGTATTCCACAACAAGATGAAACATGACATCAAGTGCTGCGGTAGACACTAACATTTTTAGTCCACTAGTCCTTATTACATGTACCAAATCCCTTAAAAGGGCAATTTCCTTATGATACCTTAACTATTGGGCAGTTTAGCAAGGTGGTATGACTGCCACTTTGACATGTAGGTGTGTCACATCTTATAAACGATTTATATATGATCGTATTACCTGAGTCTTATGATAAAACAACAGAACAGTTAGACCGTGTAGTTAACAACTCCAACAACATGGAATAACATGACCTAAATGCAAAATGTTTACATTTTCACAACACTATCTGTTGACAATTAAAACCACAAAAAAGTCAAGTAGACACCAATCATGAAACTGTAAAGTTCCAAAACTTACTTCAATCTAGTCTTTCATAATTTTACTAGATTTTGTACTAAAATTGGCTGATCTTTTAAATTGCACAACATGGGGACTGTTGACCATATCTAGCCCTGTTTAATTATAGAATAAATAAAATCCCTCAAGGATGAAACATGTATTGGGCATGTAGGTAGCTTTGTAATTATGTACAAAAGAACAGCATATATACAGGTTTTTGTCGAGACAATTGACAAAACATAATATGGAACATTTATTGTATGAACAAAATTAGGGTTTTGATATTTTTTTTATATTTTTCTCCCTCATTTCAGTAATTGACATAAAAGACACATTGCCTTCCATGTCTCTTGTGTATTGTTCAAATTGATGAGTAATGTACAAAATGAAGCCTCTAGCAAACAGTGACATCAACATTTTCCAACCCAGTTTTGAGTTTCAAGAAAACGCATCATAATATTGCTATTACCATAGCAACCACTGTTAAATACTAGATGGCGTGGCCTGTCAAATGGATGTTTAGAAATGAAAGTTAATCAGCAAAGAACATAAGGGGAAGTTACTCTTCACTTCCTCACATTCACACCAATATTCAAATTTACTGGACCCTTTGTATTCAGTGTTGGTGAAGTTCCAGTTTAGTCAGGGATCTAATGTGCAAAACATGCTTGAGACAGGCCATGTGAGGGTAAGGCCCAGTGATATCTTCCCACCAGCTAGCAGACTGCAGCGGTGTTGATCACAGGGCATTTACCTTCCTCATCCTCCCCCTCCCATTGGCGGAGGACTTGGCGCCCCTGAAACACAAGCAGAGAACATGTAGAGGTGAACATGGTAATACTGAGGTATTGCTTTATTGTTGGAATATGTTTTTTGTTTGTTGTTTAATGCCACACTCAGCAGTATTTGAGCTATATGACAGTGGTCTGTAAATAATCAATTATGGACCAGACTTTCCAGTGATTGACACCACAAGCACTGACCTACAGGGTTTTGTGTGCAATTGGATTCGATGACGTTAGTCGCCTCTTACATCAAGCATGGGTTGCTGAAGACAATTTCTAACCAGGGTCTTTATGGGTGTTGGCAAAATGTTGACTAACATGTCAAATACTGAAATAGTTTTAAACACAAGTGAATGTCACTTTGAAAACTACACAAGCCTAATAAACCTAATACAATTAATCTTCCAAGGGAATGTAGCAATTTTCCACATCCTAATATGATTGTTATTTAGTGAATTCATCTACTTCTTTACATTAAATGACAATTTTCAAAAGTCTTGGTGATGTAAGAAAGCAAACCAAGACAAAAACAGTTATGCAAATTGAAATGCATTTTCAAATCAGAAGATCTCAAACAGAAATTGTTCAAATAACTGGCAACCAATGAGAGCAGCAGCAACTATTAGAACAAAACAAGACATGCTATGTAGACCAATGTGGCTGCATCAGTGAATGTCATTTACCACACAGAATGGCTAACTGCATGACATAATCGGAGAATTATCTCCCCTGGATCATACCTGGTCCGCCCCTGAATCCTCCCATCCTCCTGCGTGGACCTGGACCAGGGGGTCTGAAACACAGCATCATACAACACTACACCACAGTTTCAGATGGCCGTCGGTCACCGGCCATAGACTGATCAAATTTCTTTGACAGATGGTTGTTTAAGTAGACTTTTGGAATTTCAGAATTGAAAAGTGAGTAGTAAGGACTTACAGTATCGAGTAAATAAAACAATGCACAGACATCAAAAGTCATAATTCAAATTCTGATCAGCACATGTCAAGAACTATTGTGACTTAGTCAAGTGCTTTTCTCGTTGCGACGTTCATTGGCCAGATCATATATATTCATCAGCAGAATGTGAACGAGGGTTTAGTGCACAGAGCACTCTTCTTGTCCCACTGAGACATCATTAAGGTTAAAGTTGAAGGCAATTTTTTTCTGGGGAACCAGATTGATGGGGAAAAAAGAAAATGACTTGATAAGGCAGAAGGCAGCTTTCTCGAGCTTTACGACACTAGTTTCAAACTGGCGACTACGCTTCGAAACATATTTTGACGTATTCTCGATTAAAGATTTTAAAACTGATAAAAAGGACATTCTAGAATGGTTTACAGATTGCCTAGACTGTATGGATATAATCATAAAACCCACACCTGTCATTCGGAATACACTCTGTTAAATATTTCAAGGTTGCATGATTAGAAAATACATTATGTCTGTCACTTTCATGATTTGGTAAGTGATGCTCTGATTGGTTGGATGATAGGTCGTTCTGACGTTAACTGACTATAAAAGTCCAGTTTCCACCCTTGCCAAACTAGACAGGAATTCCAGTCATACAGTTTGGTTGGACTTAGGAGCCTCTGCATAGTCCAATCAAAATTGTGTAAAAAACTGGACATCTGGTTCATAAAATTAAACGTGCAGATATCGGTCTACTGAAGGCCTTGCAAAGCATGTGTACCACCAACTGGGCGTCGACAGATATTTGGCAAATCTTTTCATGTGATTTGATGCACTTCGCCAGGTAAGGCCCGTCTTATTACAATATAGATCCTGAATATCGATCAGATGGTCTTGACTGGGCGTCACCATTTTGTTTGAAGCAATTGCAAGTGATATTACAGGTGGAATTTGATTGGTCAGTAGAAGGGATGTAGAAGGGACATATGGTAACTCATAATGACCACTGGTGGCGCTACGATCGAGCCGGGAAATTCCAGTCTAGTTCCGATCAGTTCGACAAGGGCGGAAACTGGACTTTTATAGTCGGTTAACACCCTTGACTCTGGAAGATGGATAATGTTCTCTTGGATCCAAGTCATTGACCTTTATACAGCTTTTTGTGTCAAAAACACTGTACAGAGACAGCATTCATCTTCATACAACACCATACAGAAATAATACAACATTTATATACACAGATATCATTTAACTCATTATCATGTTGGACAGTTAATAGTTATTTGGGGCAGTGAGGAGTTAATTTAGACTTTATGGTTTAAATATTCAACAAATATAATTATGAACTGAAATGGTCATATTAATGCTGAGCAGTAACCCATGGATACCAACGGGAAAACTCACCCCCCAGGCCTGTAGTCAGAAGTGTGGCTACTGCCATGCTTGGTCTTGTTGGGCTGAAACAGTCAGTCATGATGGTAAACACATCAGTTGATTATTCATGCATTATGTTTGTTTGTTTGTTGTTAACGCTGCATTATGAAAAGTGACAGTGAGGTTTTTGTTTTTAAAATCAAAGGCACCAAGGCAAAATGCTACAAAAAATATAATATAGTAAAAAAATATACATAGTGAACTTATGATACCCTCTTTCCTAAAAATGAGTTGGAAGTAAATTAAAGTGTAGATATAGATCATAAGATAATTATATCCATCAATTAACACCAAAATAAGGGACCTTAACCTCCCCGAATATCAACTAATTGATTTTCATTTGATCATAGTCAGCATTCCTTTTCCTCATGAAAATATATGACAATGCATCTGAAACAGGGAAGTGGTCACTGAGACATTTTCAGCTGATATGAAGAGTTAATAAGACACTGTGGCTTTGAACCCATGGAACTTTCTCCGTAATTCACCAAATTTGGCACTGTCAGAATTGCACCTCTCTCAAAATTTAATAAAGCAAGCCTTCTACACCACTCCAGCATCAGCATCAGAATGTGTGGACCTCGGAGGGGGGATTATTTTCAAACATAATGCAACTCCATCAACACATTTCATCATACTGAGTCACCTTCTCAGCCACTCTCGTATAGTGACAATCAATGATTATCTTGACTGTTCAGGTTGATTGCTTAACTGACTCTTCAATCAATCACTCCACAACTATCTGCTACCAATCTCCAGCCTACACGTTATTGATACAATGATAGTGCCATGTGTGGAACTGTAAAACTGGCCTGATTGTTTTACGTCACAAAATGTGTGTTAGTGGACAAGTGGAATTGAATTTTTTTATACCAAACACAGTAAAAGGACTGTAGACTTAGGACATGGGGATGTTGATCCAATTTTGACAGAAAGAACTTTCCCATGAACATGATAGATGAAGATACTCACATCATACATGGTCTGGAAGCTGTAAACACAAGAGAGGTGGTTGTTAGTGAATAGTGATAGTATTGATGGACATATCTTCTTTTTAAAACTTGGTTCTTTCTGACACCCTGCACAGTAGACCAAGCCAATCATATACCCGTATCACCATAATCCCCACACACTCAATATAATATTTACTATATCTAGCAGATAATACTTCAGATAAATGATGATTGTTTCAATTGATTGGAACACAACTACTTACAACAGTAAAACGAAATTGATGAAGCCCCAGAACAATTCTGGGATGACTGATAGTCGCCATGGCGACCTGGAGTCAAGGACTTGGCCTGCAACACAAAATGTTACATTGTTGAGCTGATCTATCAGAATGTAATCAATGCTAATCACCAATAACATGAATCTGTCACAATTATTTTGAAAACACCTAAGATTTTCTATGTTTTCAATTGAGCAGTGCATGACAAGCTTATCGGGGCTTCAAGTTGAAGCTGCAACAAACTGTTGTGTTTTTCTTTATCTTCTTTTTGTTTTCAAATAAATACACTAATATACATAGTCTCAAGCTTTCGATCCTCCTGCCTTCATCAGGCACTCAACCAAAATAGTGTGCCTGCTCATGCCGATAAAGGCAGGGAGGCCACAAGCTTGTGGTCATATTCATATCGTGGTTTCTGGTGTAAAGTAATACTAATAGCCCACTAAAAAATATTCTAGTTAAGTAGTTTCGCACACTGGTTACTTGCACAGGATACATTTGTACTATTATTAGTCACACAATCACTGAGAACAGTCAAAGGAAATTTGTGTCTCAGTTGCTATCATGCTGACATCACGAAAGGCAAGATGCGTGACTTCAAATCTCATGCAAAAACGATGTTGGAATTCAAAAGGTTGTTTACTAAACATGCTAATTGTTTTTAAACAAAAGATAGAGAAAATTATTAGGGATACTGGTAATTTAGATGTGGCAGCTCATGTTAATAAATCTATATATTATTCATGACATGATCTTTATCATGAGTAAACCATAATATAACATAAATTTACTATTCAATCAAATCAGCAACATTGCAGTTTACCAGATGCAGATTATACAAAGCAATAATAGGCTTTTCAATCCTTAGGGTTAGGTGTGTTTGAGTAAGTTAACCCCCCCCCCCGTCTTTAGCACTTGGATCTCTTTCTGACCAAGCAACCCTTTATGGTCAGTTGGCTTAGGTACCCGTTTCTATGAAAGTCCATACCTGAGATACTTAGTTAAAAATTCAAGACTTTCCCCTCAAACAATCCTTCACCAATTTTACGATCCTTAGGACTGTGGATCCTTTACAGTTTACGATCCATTCGGTTTGTTCTGAGTTAGGTTTCAGTTAAATATTTCTTTAATGGAATTAAATAGTCTCCCCAGGACATTGGACTAACGAAATTAGAAGACGAAGCCGTTTTATGATGAAGGTTAATTATAATCGTTTTCGCAGGAGCAAAATCGATATACACGTGTCAACTACTAAAATACATAAATGTGAAAAGAATAAAATAGTTACATCAAGTATCTACCCCTTGTTATTTTAAATAACGCCAATTCATCGTTACCTTCCGACACGTACACCATTCCGAGTAAAATCTCTCGTCACTGTGGTTAGACTGGTACTCTGTTCTTCTAGCGGCTGATTGTAGTGTGGCGATTAGCGCAAGAGTTCCAGGGCAGACAAACCAGTCTTAACTGTGGTGAGCGCTCCCTCTGACGACGGGAACGGGAATGGTCTCCCTTGATTTATGGGTCGCCAGCTGCTTCACAGCGCGTGACACCTTCGTCACACAAGGGTTGAGAGAGCTCTGCGAACGGGGGCCTATTTGCTGTAAAGAGTCTGAAGGTGTCGATCTTATTTCCTTTTCTTCAAAACTGTCTAAAATAAGAATATTTTTAAATCCCCATATTTTGTTTATTTATTAACTCTTCTTCTGTTAATTGTTTTTTGTCAAGTGTCACGTGTGTTGTCTCCAAAATCTGCATAGCTTGAAGTGTTGCATAAGGACTGTGGTAGACTGGAACGCATGGGAATGTGTTGTTAGGATTTATTTAACTTTTATTTTAAGGCTACGTGACAAAAAAGTTTCTTGTCTCCATCCACCCTCCACTCTAAAATAGGACTTCCGTTACCATATGTTGGTTAGAACTATATGAAACAAATACAAATATACATATATATTAAAGCTACGTATTCTTAAAAATTTCTTAGAAAACTGGCCGCACGTCACATGACCACAAAACGCATTATTCAAATTGACCACAAACACATTAGTCCAAATGGTCACACAAAAAGTCAAAATGGCCACTAAAAAATGGTCAAATTCTAAATAAAAAAGTAAACATCTTTATTTCATTTCATAACAAATATCTTCAGCATTAGGATAGACATCAGCATCACATAACACATTTGTTGATCGGTACTGAAAGAGTTCCGTTTTTGAGTTCATGTCAGTCGTGACTGTGACGTACAAGGGCAATAGGTTAGCATTAATGGATAGCAATGGATAACAATGAAGTCACCAACACCAGTGTCTGCAATGTCATCAGTCGTCCAGGAGTGCATCTGACCAGGTCTGAAAAAGAAATTCACAATTTGACTCACCGATGACAAGGTCGAGATACTCGATCATCTCTGCTCAGACATGTACCGATGAATCCGGTCCTTGAAGATCCTTGTAGTGAATAGGTTTTTAGCAACCGATGGATGTCGTAAGAGGCGACTAATGGGATCGGGTGGGTCAGGCTCGCTGACTTGGTTGATGCATGTCATCGTATCCCCATTGCGTGGATCATGCTCCTGATATCAATCATTGGATTGTGTGGTCCAGACTCGATTATATTCATACCGCCGTCATTTAGCAGGAATATTGCTGAGTGCGACGTCACACGTGCAAATGATTTCACCCCATGTTCAACTTGGACACAATCTCCATAATTGTTTATAACATTATGTTCATCGACTACAATTGAGAATTTAGGTTGGAGCGAGTCGTTAGAAAAACGGAAATATAACAATTTACTTAAATTTCTACCCACAGCTACCCATTTAAAAAAAGTTATGAGAAACAAAATGTTTATGTGTGGCCTAACACGTATTGTAGTTTTTATGTACCCTGTTTGTAACCGTATTGTGGACTTTGTATGGACATAAAAGCCACAAACTTCTTTCCATATTTATAAGATATCGATGCTTAAAGCAGCGTCGATTGTACGGTTCCGACAATATCACGAGCACGTGTTTATGAATCAGTAGCAAATAAACCGTGAAGGTTTATAATGTGCACGTTTTTAATTTGACACCTATTGTGTTTTGATTATGGTGATATCTGCTGTGTCCACATGGCATCCCATAGCAAATGTGCAGGGCGTTTCGTCTTCACTGGCCTCTCGTCCTGACCCCAAGTAAATAATGTAGAAAACTCCCCGTCATGTTTATAACCTTTGTCAAGTATAGATTCCTGAAAATAGAGACATTCACTGGACTCGTTTCTATTCAATTTAAAAAAAGAAGTTTTATATTAAAAGACAAATTCTCCTTTTGAGAGGCTGAATGTCAGTCTATGTCTCCCCTTGTTATAGGACTCCCTGACACGACCAGTAAAACCGACTCCCCGACACGACCAGTAAAACCGACTCCCCGACACGACCCGGTGATACCGACTCCCGACACGACCCAGTGATACCGACTCCCCGACACGACTGGTGATATCAACTCCCCGACACGACCAATGATATCGACTCCCGACACGACCCAGTGATACCGACTCCCCGACACGACCCAGTGATACCGACTCCCGACACGACCCAGTGATACCGACTCCCGACACGACCCAGTGATACCGACTGCCCGACACGACCCAGTGATACCGACTGCCCGACACGACCCAGTGATACCGACTGCCCGACACGACCCAGTGAAACCGACTCCCAGACACGACCCAGTGATACCGACTGCCCGACACGACCCAGTGATACCGACTCCCCGACACGACCCAGTGATACCGACTGCCCGACACGACCCAGTGATACCGACTGCCCGACACGACCAAGTGATACCGACTGCCCGACACGACCAAGTGATACCGACTCCCCGACACGACCAGTAAAACCGACTCCCCGACACGACCCAGTGATACCGACTGCCCGACACGACCCAGTGATACCGACGCTTTAACCACTAGGCTACCCCACCACCCCTACGCATACAAGGGCTTCGTGGGAATTCCTGGTTACAATTGGTCCTTCAGCAACCCATGCTTGTGGTACGAGGTGAATGAACTAATCGAGGTGAATGAACTAATCGGGTGGACAGGCTCGATGACTTGGTAGATTGCGTGCCATCATAACCCAACGGGTTGGTCGTTGCATAATATCAATCACCGGATTATCTTGTCCGGATTATTTACAGATCGCCGTAATATAGCTGGAATATTGCTCACTACGACAACAAAACAAAGTGGCACATCGTGTACATACAGTGAACTACGGTTATAACGAAGTCCAAAGGGCCACGAATTTTAGTTCGTTATAACCGCAGTTCGTTATTTAAGCAATTCGACTGTCACACATCTTGGATCAAGTCACGTGACATTTCTCAAGTTTGCAACACGCGGGGCGGGGCAGTTATCTACCAGTAGCGGTAACGAAACTCATCACTACTATAGAAAGTTGAAACCTGTACGTGAATCAAAAGATGTGAGTACCTGTAAGTGAGACCCGTGCAGATCTGGGGTAGAATAGGTCTTCAGCAACCCATGCTTGCCGTTAAAGGCGACTATGCGTGTCGTGAGAGGCGACAAACGGGATCGGGTGGTCAGGCCCGCTGACTTGGTTGATGCATAGCAGCGTATCCCACCTGCGTGGATCGATGCTCATGATGTCAAATCACTCGATTGTCTGGTTCAGACTCGTTTATATACAGACCGCCGTCATATAGCTGGAATACTGCTGAGAGCGGCGTTAAACAAACAAACAAACAAACAATCAAACAAACAAAGCCTGTAAGTGAGATTGGTTGTACACTGCTTTAGCTGTGGTAGCCACATCGAGGTCACTATGTGGGAATTCGAACCCGGATCTTCGCACGGACTAGTCAACGCTCTAACCACTAGGCTACTCCACCGCCCCTATTATGATTGTGGCAGATACTTATTATTGTATTATATAGTTATGTAAATATTAGTTTTAAGTCATTTAAGTGTTGCATTGATATTTGTATAATGACAATTGCATTATGAATTGCAGGTGTATTATTTCCGATTTTAACTAATGAATGTATTTTTTTCTATCAACAGGTTTGGTCATTTTTGATACAGGCTATAATTATAAGGACACAGAAGGTTGAGTCTATTATTAGCTCTATAGTGAGTTTCATTCTAATATGATTAAGGGTAGATAGGTAGGGCTACCACATTATTACGTGGCCTGATTTAATGAACACCGATTGAATCATTCAAACTCTTGCCCTCTTTCCTAATTCAAAGCTGCACTTCACAGTCACTCTTTGCACCATCAGGATTGTAATACCATGGAGTCATAAACAAATGCAAATACCTCACAGGTTAGTTTAATCTCTTACATTGGTTTATAAGTGTGTACACTTTATATGTTATATTTGTATTGTGTGGATATAAATAAAACAAGTAAATTCAACCTTAATAATGGTAAATCTAACCTAAATGTAAATAACACTTCAGTCAGGTTCTAGTGCATTTCAGAGTATAGAATCAATACAAATAACTATCAAATAACTCATATAATTCATTCAGGTAATTATATTTTCCCTATGAGTGAATTGTTGCATGTTTGAGTGTTTGATTGACTGATTTCATATATGAGAGGAAGAATAGTGTATATGTGAATGTAAGTACGAATGTGATTTTAGCCTAAGTTGTTTTGATGTGTTCCAGGTGTTGATAATGATAATAGCTATGTTGATTTATAGTTACTGTAGAATTAATGTTGCATATTGTTTACACGGATTTTAGGTACGCTTGGTATATCTGGCTTGGCGGAGCTTGGTGAACGTCCTGTGCACCCTAGTGCCATACACCGGGTAGGAACTATGCTATTTTGCATCCCGTATGTTTATGTGATACTGAGTATCACATCTATTCTATTTGATATGCGTATTGCATTAAGACGTCTGTGTCATATTTAATTTGAAGATATTTTGAAGATATGAGTTAATCAAGGAGTTATCTCCCCTTGTTGTATTGTCATACGATCTGTCATTTATGTTTCACCTAATTTGTGTAATGGACTGTTTTTAAGCCTCAGGTATATTGTATGACGCTGTATATATTGAATGGTATATTGTTTCAGGGTGTGTTTAATTGACCGGGAATAAAACGTTCTCACCCCGTAACCAGTGTCTTGGACTTTTGATGTTGCCTCCACACTAAAATCGGTTACATGATGAAGAAGTGCACACGAATTTCCTTATGAAAGAGCAACGAGATATTATGTACATCATGTTAATAGAAAAGAAACGGCATGCTAGTACGTTGAAGCGTTGTGTGATTAGATCATTTATGTTTTACGAAGTGAATGGACCTTTTGAGATCACATTCATGGATTATCGGGGCGGTTTTTAGTCAAAATTGTGCACTTTGGGTTAAAAGCACCAAACTTGGCACACTTATACATTGAAACATTCCGAACATTTCTGGATATGGTTCTACCTCAGCAGCGCCACCTGGTGGCAGAAAATCCAAGATGTCCGTCAAAATGGTTAAAATCTTTTATGACGTCAATTTATATTCAATATATCATCATTATTTTGTCAATTTTAGTCATTTATATAAAATTAATTGCGTCAATGATGTATATAATTCAAATCTAATATGCAGCGCCCACTGGTGGCGAAGAAAATCCAAGATGGCCGCTCAAATGACTTAATCTTCAAAAAATGTCAAATGTCCACAATATCAGTATCATTTGCTCATTGCAATCATTTCAATCAAATCTGGCTTTAAAACAATTCCAAGTAATGCTTTACTGAATGTATAAGCTTTTGATTCTAAAATTCATTCATTTGAAGCAAGATCTGTATTCCGTAAGGCAGATCTGGGGAATATATTGGACTGCATGAACTTGGTTAAAATTCTGTAACTGAAATGGGAATGTGATACAGATATTGGACCAGCACTGAAACATGCCATTTTGATTCTGAATCATTAAGGCTAACTAAACGAGCAACACTTATACACAGACGTCATTTAAGGTTGAAACAAACATTCAGAGGAACATTTCCTTCTGATTGCCATATGTACCTGCTTCTTTGAAAGCTCTAGGCAGTATGAAATTAGTAGAACCAGGTATGAAAATATATTCTTCAAGTATTCCAAACTACAGTAAACTACGGTTATAACGAACTCAAAGGGACCACTAATTTTAGTTTGTTGTAACCGTAGTTCGTTATAAACATATATACACCATATATACAGCAAATGGCTTGGACCTAAAAACCAGTTCTTGTCTTCAAAGCGTGAAATCCCGGTGCACCAGCTCATCAACACAAAGACACCACTGAGACCGAGAAATACAAGTCTCAGTTTACTTGGTATTAAACAATATTATTTAATTCAAAATATGGTGTATTTGAACAGATATAGCACAGTTTGTGGTGTTTATGAAGACGAAGGTGTGGTATACCCACCAACATTCTCAAAAGTTGATATAATCCCTGCTCTACAACAGCAACATATCCACTTCATGGTACCAGCATTTCACTATTGCAGCAGCGTTCAACAGCTGAAGAGGGAGGAACATGTCAGTACAACATCACATGTTGTTCTTTTGGCTGAAGAAAACACACACACACACACACACACAAGGAAAACCATTTCCAAACAGCCCACAGTATATACTAATGTACCCCCATCCTGTTTTCGCAAGATGGGTAATTATGTTTCTCAATGAAAATGACCTTTCACCCGGGATGTAGACAGTGTTAACACAATGCCCATATGCCAATGTTGCTATGATACAGCATTCAATTAATGTGGTAAAAAAGGGTATTGGGCATTTTAATCCTGGTCAAATGCATGTGCTTGCCTTGGGTGTACCACTAAACACAATTGCTAAAACAATCCAGTGGAACTGTCCTGAATTATAATTTGGTAGATTTGCATATAGAAATAGTTGCTTTCAGGACTGTCAGCAACTGTCCCGAAGGAAGTAGATGGAAAACTGCATTGTGTGCTGTTGGAATTGCCTCTGGCAGATTTGCTGATTCCTTCCTCATGTGTACCCATCTACAACATCAGGCATATGTGCGATATAAGGAAACAGAAGCGAACACAGAAGATCCTTTCAGAAACTGGTGTGCACCGAAGTAAGCTGCTCAGCCCGTTTCACTACTGGCCCCTTGTCCTTGAACAAGAACTTTGCATATTGTGCCTGGTGGGTGCAATTCAAAAAGTAGATTTCCCAAAGTTTGCAGCATCACCTGTCATATTAATGGCTTGCATTTCACAGATATGCCCCTCTTACAGTAGAGCACGAGCACCGCTGTACCTCGAATATTGTTATCGAATATAGCCGTATGAAAGGAGATGGAGGTGCAGTTGGAATTGACTGAAGCAGCCGAGAGTTTTCTTCTAGAGGTAAAGACAAAGACATTGTACTATTTCGCGCCTTCACCGGTTCATATGCTTGGGATACGTGTCAAGTATTTCCTGAAGTCATCAATGATTTCCCATCATCAGCAGATATCCCTGACAACACAATGCAGATTCTTGAACCGTTTGTCGTTCTCACTGGTTAATTTGGAAGGTCAATGAAAGGCAAAATCTCTGTTCATGAATATCTCAGACAATTGACATTTCAACCCAAAGAGGCAGCTCTGAGACAGCACCGATGCATATTTGGGGACAGCTGCTTGACAAACGTCCCACACTACAGAATCCTGTAGTTAGGGGTCGGGAGAGGACATGCAGTAATATATAAATACCTAAGTTGACAACACTTGGTCAAGCACAAAGAAGTGTTATAAACTAACACTACACCTGTAAGAAGTCTTGCAAACCTTTGTAAACTTTACACTGCCTGTCTTGAGTACAGTGCTATGTGATACTTTGAAGGAAAGTGTTCACGGTAAGTGAATTATAGAACCGTAAACACATACACTTAACCGATATTCCTGGTCCTGCTTAAGTAGGAAGTAAGTTAATGTCATAGGTTCATGGCAATGATGTCAATAATACTATTACATAAATCCCTGTTTTTAAGATATTAATCCATTCCCAGATGAGTGATTTTTGGGTGTCTGATATAAACTAGGTGGAACATCTCTCAGTAGACCATTTATGAAATAATATGCCGAGAATAGATCATAGACAATACATATTAATTGATACAATGTCATTTAAAAATGTTTCATCATATCAAAACTTATCAACTTATCTTTAGTCCAAAGGTATCAAATGATATCTATATCTGCTGTAGAAATAGACAATTCCTAAAAATTAAAACATATTGGAGGCCATCTTGTATTTTCGTCATCACCGGGGGGCGCTGCTTACCAGATTTGAATTATATAAAGCATTGTTGCAATTGATCCTGAAAAAGATACTGTGATAAATTGAATGAATTGACCAGATAATTATGATAAATGAGTATAGGCTGAAGTCATTAGAGATTTCAACCATGTCGGCGGCCATCTTGGACTTTCATCACCATCAGAGGGTGCTGCATACTAGGTTTGAATTATATACAGGATTGTTGTGATTACTCCTAAATACATTACAATGATAATTTGTATAAATTGGCCAGAAAACTATGTTGTGTTGAGTATAGATTGATATCATTAGAGATTTCAGCCATGCTGGCGGCCATCTTGGATTTTCTACCACCAGGGGGCGCTGCAAACTATATTTGAATTATATACAGCTCTGCTGCAATTCATTCCGCATGCATTAGTATGGATATGTGTATAAATGGATCAGATAAGTATGATATTTTGAGTATATATTGATATCATAAGAGAGTTCAGCCATGTTGACGGCCATCTTGGATTTTCTACCACCAGGGGGCTCTGCCGAGGTGGATCTGAAAATGTTCAGAATGGTTCATTGTATAAGTGTGCCAAGTTTGGTGCTTTTAACCCAAAGTGCACAATTTTAGCCTTAACCGCCCCACAAGATGAGGTTTATGGAGGTTTGTATAAGCAATTTAAAGGAAGCTATTGAGTTATACCCCCAAAGGCTGAAGGACCTAAAGTAGCACTTGACCGTAGCACGTAGATCACAATGGACTTCCTGCATACGGCGCCAGTGCTATGACTCCCAGCCACAGTGACGTTAAAAAGGGTACGTTAATGTACTTGAGCTTCCTTCTGGGAATAAGACATTCTGGGAAAGTGCGCTCGACGACTACCCGTAAATGTGTGAATTTGCTGAGGATGTCGTGACATCCTTGTAGGCGACTAAACGATAGTGTAGATGCAGTTATGCCTATCTATCTATCTATCTATCTATCTATCTATCTATCTGTCTGTCTGTCTGTCTGTCTGTCTATCTAAAGTGGTGAGATACACAGGTGTACAGAAGCACCTATGTAAAGAATTTCACAAAATAATTGCACGACACTGATTGTTCTCCTCCCTGAAGATAAAGCTGAAACGTGAAGGAGAACAATACGTGTTGTGTAATTATATATACATTGCAGTCATAATCTTTCAACACGATGAAACGGTTCACTCTCGTGCCGCTGAACAATTTTCTTACATGTAGAGGTGGGGCTACGGCTGAATTTACACAACAGTGTGTTATGACATGGAATAACACAGAAGGCTTATGCAAGTAAGCACAGACGGATATGAATTAAAAAAAATATCTGACACTATAAATGTCTCTGCTCTTGCGTAATGACATCTCTACTGTCCCTATCGTCGTGTAAGAGCGTGGTCGTAAATTTGGAAACACGCCACGCCAAATAGAAGGAACAGAATTTTCACGATTTCTTTCCGCATATGAAACAGCTGAGTTATTTCAATTATTCCCGAACGCGCATTAGCCTTTTGTTATCAGTGATAACACGTATGACTTGTCAGAGGACATTGAATGATAAAATTGCAAAAAGGATGTTCTTTATGCGAAGGAAGAAGTTTTTCGCAATGTCAGTATGACATATTATTTGTCATATAGCTGTACTGGGGACTGATCTTATAACTAGTTCGTAAGCGAAGGCCACACAAAACTAAAAATGTTGTTTCTCAGTACTTTTCAAACCAAATTGGTAGCTAGGTTAGTCGAATTTTAATTTTACGATTGATTATCCAAACATACTAACCACAATCCACATTTATACAACATGAAAACAATGGCGCTCCTCCCAATGTCTTCAAAACCTGGCAGCCATTCC